TATGTGGGGCAGACGTGGCCGGCCGCTGCAAAGTGTGGGATCATCTTGGCCCGCGGGCCACAGTACACGGTCTGGCCGGCCGACAGGACGATCACGTTGGAGAACATCTCGTACACCAGTGATGACGGTTGATGAATCGTACAGACCACTGTCTTTCCCTCTGAGCAGAGCTTGACGATGAACTTCATGACATTGTGGGCCGCACTGGAATCCAGGCCACTGGTCGGCTCATCAAGGATGAGAATACTCGGGTTGGACAGTAACTCGATGGCGATACTGAGTCTTCGCTTCTGGCCGCCAGATAACCCCTTACGGAAGATATCTCCAACCAGAGTATCACGGGCCGTGGTCAGACCCATCGCGTCCATGACGTTTTCCACGCGGATCTCAATCTCGTGGGACGTCACGGTGCTGGGCAGACTGAGTTTGGCCGCCATCCGCATGGTCTCCGCTACTGTAAAGGAGCCTAACAACGTGTCCTCCTGGGCCACGTAGCTCGTCACGGCGCGGAACGTCTTGGAGTCTCGTTCCGCGCCGTTAACTTCGATCACACCGGACACTTCGCCGGAGCTGATACGGTCGGCCAACATGTCCACAAGCGTAGTCTTGCCCGAACCGGACGGGCCCATGATGGCCGTGAGTTCGCCGGGAGCGCATCGGCCACTAACTCGGTCCAGGATAGTCTTAGTGCCCCATGGCAGTTCCGGTGTCTTCTTGCCCTTGACAGTGTAGCTCAGGTCGCTCCAGCTCAATACGCACGGATTCCTGATACGTTCGTATTTGATCTCGATCTCCCGGTCCAGGTTCTGGGGCTTGTCGGGGGTCACTACCGGTGTGGCCATGGTGGCCCCGGTGTGGCCACTCTCCTCACTCTCGAGAATGGCATACCCTCGTGGAGACAGTGAAGCCATGGGGACAAGGAGGCGAATTGCCGAATGAATTGGGATCGGACGCACGTTTGGGCTATCCCGGGGATCGAGGCCTGCACACGGTTTTCGGATAAGTTTTACCGTCACACGTTGCAGCAGGAAACACAAGGTGGCGGAGTCATCTTGAGGCCAGATTGAGGCTTACAGGTCACGTCGTGGCGTGCGAGACTGACACAGGTGGGAGCAGAAGCAGAACCTATCGCAAGGATGTTGCCCGGCGTTCTGCCTCATAAACTTGAAAGGACAACGGTCAGGCGCATGCATCACGTGAACGAACATGAGATCGGAGCTGAAGTACCTTTACATGGCGCCGTCGACCGCACCTCTTCATGCATACGGATTTTGACAATTTAGCAAACGTGTTCATGACTTCATGACTTCATTTTATCACAAATATTGATCGATTCATGACTACAGAGTTCAATTATTCATACGTTACTTGCTTTAAACATCAGCTACACGCCACCTCAACGACGACCTGTGTGGAATTTCCACAGGATAAACATGAAAATGAGCTGGAAACCAGCCACGTACGCCACCAGATACAACATGTCCTGCATGACGTCCACGTTCTCCATGCCGTATTTCGCTAAGATCGCCTTGGCTTCCTCTGATGTTTCGTTCTCAAATTGCTTGAACACAAATGACTCGAACGAGTACGAGTGGAACGCCAGGTAGTAGCCCCAGATCCAGTAGTCCGGGATCGAGTCTCGAGGAACCATGAAACCCTCGCACAGCATGAACATACCGAACACACCGGCACCCAATGCGATACCGATGATGTAGTGCGGAACGGCAGCTCCGATCACGTGCATCATCGACTCGGATACCACCAGTGACAGGAACAGGTTCAATAGGAAATATTCGAACGCGTTCAGACCCGCCAGAAGCACCACCAGAGCCGTCGACATCGCTGCGATAAGGAAGATACCCGGTAGTGTAGCCAAGAAGTTGGCACACACGTAACTCACCACACTCAATGAACTGTTGGCACGTTCACGAGCAAACACTGCACGCTGTTCAATGAAGAACGGCAGTACGGCCACAGACATGAACACCAGGAACGCCTGGACGTAGAACAGCAGTGGCACCAGGTCTTCCTCCGTCAAGTCGTCGTTCGTGCTCAGGTACATTGTGCCAACCATGAAGCTCAAGCAGAAGTACATGAACAACCGGATCCAGTAGATCCCCGGGTTGCGGATGTTGTTGAGCGTGTTGCGGTACATGAGCACACTGAACTGGCGCATCGCGGATGAAGGTCTCAGCTCGATATCCGGCAGGTTCTGTAGCGTGGCCCGGTCGGCCGAGAGTTGGTCTAGAAGCTGCTTCTTAACGTTGCTCTGGGTGTACGCATGCACCAGTTTAGTGACGTCCACGTGGTCCTCAAAGTCCGTGTTTACCAGGTTCACAAAGTACTCGGCCGGGTTCATGTACTTGGGACAGTTGAACCCAATGGAAGCAAAGTGTGGGATCATGTTGGAGCGAGATCCGCAGTACACGATCTGGCCCAAAGACAGCACGATCACATTCGTGAACATGTCGTAGACCAGCGACGACGGCTGGTGGATCGTGCACAATACGTTCTTGCCTTCACCGCAGAGCTTTAGAATGTACTTCATGACGTTGTGTGCCGAGCTGGAGTCGAGGCCACTCGTGGGCTCGTCCAGAATGAGAATGCTCGGGTTCGACAGCAGCTCAATGGCGATACTGAGTCTTCGCTTCTGGCCACCGGACAAACCTTTCCGGAAGATGTCGCCGACCAAAGTGTTTCGGCAGGCTCCGAGCCCCATCGCGTCCATGACGCTCTCTACGCGCGAGTGGATGTCTGTCATCACCACACTGTTGGGCAGACTTAGTCGGGCCGCCATCTTCATGGTCTCCACTACTGTGAACGAGCCCAGTAGCGTGTCTTCTTGGGCCACGTAACTGGTCACGGCTCGGAACGTCTTGGTCACGCGGTCCGTGCCGTTCAGCTCGATGGTGCCGGTCACGAGGCCGGAGCTGATACGGTCGGCCAACAAGTCGACGAGCGTGGTTTTGCCTGATCCAGACGGGCCCATGATGGCCGTGAGGTCTCCGGGGGCGCTGCGTCCGCTGACTTTATCCAGAATGGTCTTCTTGCCGTACGGGTTCTTGGCCGTCTTTTTACCCGGCACGGCGTAGCTCAGATCGCTCCAACTGAGTACGCACGGATTGATGTACTCCTCGTACTTGGCCGTCACATTTCGACAGTGGAGACTGTTGCTGGCCGCGTTGCTGGAATAGTCCGACGTGCCATTGGGGATGGTCCGACCACTCTCGCGAGTGTATCCGCTCTCGAGGATCGAGCGTTCGAGTATGGGCGGAGATACTTCCGGCAGGTTCGAATACGGTCCTGCGGGCGAGGACGCCATCGTGCGGTACGCTAAAGCAAAAGTGAGACTACAGTAGATAACGTCGATCGAACGGCGGGCGCCCCCGGTCTAGCGGACTCGATGAAGCCTCGCACCAACTCGCCTTTCCATCATAGGACAGCACGTAAAGATTGAGCGCGGAGCACATGCCGGCCATGTGTGAGGTCAGGCACGTCGTGCAACGACACGGCCGCAGCATGTGAAATGGCGCTTTCGGTGCTGGTGGCCGCGCGAAGCCAGGCCGAGCGGGCTCAAATCGACCAGGAGGTGCCAGTCAATGTGATGTTTTTTTGCCACCCGCATACTGTTCTTGTCATTCTTGAAAAAAACTATTAAAGTCAATTGTAGCCCACCTCATACGCTGAGAACAAGGCAAACCTCCCGTCGCTACAGCATCTGGCAGTCCTCTTCCTGGTTGCTTCCTGTTGGGTAGCCATCATCACGTGACGTCAAATGCTGGAAGGTGGTAGCAGTGTATCGATTAGCCGAAAGATACCCCACTGCAGCACAACAACGTTGGCCGACTACTATCAAATTGGGTAACGAGTGGCACTGGCCAGGCCACGATCTCGACGACTTGCAAGTGTGTAAACCGGCATCACAAAGGGGGGGGGGGGTGACGTTGACGTGCTGTGCATGTATTCTTTTACTCAGTCGGTCTTATCCGTAGCGACGTGTTAGCAGCCAGCCACCGGAATTCCTGTCGTTGGCAATGGTTTCTGCTGCGTGGCTCGTAACAAACTAACGTCTACGTATTAATATGGCCACATCGAGTGCAAGAACTACCGCTCAAAGCAGCGCTAGGCTTTGATATCCTCGATCTTGGGCACGTCGTCCTCGTTCTCCTCGAAGCGGCCACGTTTGGCCATGTAGTCATGGAAGGCCATGGAGCCCAACAGCAGGGCCACCACGGCGGCCTGGCCGTAGATTCGCGTGTGCATGATCTGCTGCGAGCGAGCGATGCTGGTGTTCGTGGTTTGGTAGGCGAAAATGCCACCCACTAGAGGCACACCCGCCGTCACCAAGCTACGATACGGATGGTCGTACACGAAGTTGGCCGCTCGTTTGTGCAGCGGCAGTCGGGTTTTCATTATGCGGATCTCAACGTAGTTGGGGTCAAGTGCAGCCATGTACTGGTCAGGATTTCTGGCCCCAGCCAGGAGACGATTTTCGGCCACGATGGCGAATCCGGCCAGGTAAGCCGACACCACAAGAGCCCATTTGCCACTGACGCCAAGGCGCGCGCGGAAGCCGCGGTGGTACGCGTTGGCACTGTAGACGACCGCACCCATGGCCAGACTGGCCCAGGCGCCGGCCTTGAGGCCGCTGGTGTAGGCGTCCCAGGAGATGATGTCTTTCTGGCGCTTGGCCTCGGTGAAGTCGTGCGCGGATTTGTGCATGGCGAAGGAGATAGAGGTGATCTGGGTGGATGCAGGTCGATTGGGAAATGGCCGAGTGCTGGCCGAAGGGAGGCCACAGGGTTGGAGGCATAAATTCGCTGCCATTGAAAGTTATGTCGGGTCAGGCATGACTTCAAGCTTGCGATTCTTGCGAATCCACCACCGGCACACTAACGAATTAATGCCTGAGGGATATAAATTATTGGGACATAATTTATTCTTGTAAATTAACACTTTAGTTTTAAATGACCGCTTTAATTACTAGGATATAGATAAGGAGAGGTTCCTGAGCTTGCGACATTTGAAGGATGCATCGGCGGAACAGGAGATAACGCTTTGACGGTCAGGCATAGCGGCCCGCTACGGTACAGAGGGGGAATGTGATTGAGGTCTGGAATTATTCACCATCGTGCAGTTCAAAGCTCTAGCCTAATGGTCGGCGACAACTCGTGGCGGTGGAATACATCCAAGCACAATACTTTTTCAGGCATTGGTTGATCGTCATCGCAACTCTCGCGCTGTAAGTAGGCCGCAATAGTACAGATGTCGCGGCATTTCGTTCGTGTATGGAAAATGTGTAAGCTTTTACGGCTGATTCCACAGTTGAAGGCATCGGAGAGTCATCCCATTGCGCTGCTATATAGCACTTGCCAACCGGGCAGCACTAGTCACCAACATACATGTAGTTAGGATCCTCATTCTCCAATTATCTGCGTGCTGATGCTTTTTTTTTGTGTTTACCACCGAATCGGTGGCACAGGCTCGACTGTCAAGCCCCGACATTCAAAATGCAAATGTCTGCTCAAGATTGTATTTCGTGATTGACCAATCAAAAACCTCCAAATGAATGACTTCAACTTGTATTTTTTATCCCAATTATCTGAAGGCTGTCAGAACGACGGCGCTTCATCGGTGAAGCTGCTATCTCCAACATATAAAACCCTGCTACTGGCTGCATTAATCCCCAGCATCTCCACGTCCATCGCTTCCTCGATTTGAGTCAAATATTCGAGATTGGCTTTGCAGTCTAGGGAACAGAATCGGCCGGCAGCGCTGCTCAGCATCGACATCGTCTTGAAGAAGAGACCCCCACAGTTTGCGCAGCGAGTCTGGCGTTGCCGCCACGAGGCTTTACCACTGCTGTCGTCCGTTAGGCGCTTGTGGGCATGCTCAAGTCTCGTGTACACTGTAGGCACTTTAGATGGGGCCGAAGTAGCGAGACAGCTTGGAATTGCGATGGTGGCGCTAGGCTGCCTTCTGGTGGCCGTCGGTACCGGCACGGGAGCGGGTTTTGAATATCCTGGCCCTGGCCATGACTTGGGTCGCTGGTCCTCACAGCGTTGCTTGCGCTTGAAGATCAATCGAATCATGCGCGACGCGAAGCTTGGCGGGGACGCCATCGCTTGAGTACTGCACGCGTTGATGTTGCGAATCTCGCAGCTCGAAGGTGCGAGCTGGTTGCTGGTGATCAGTTTTGCGTCGCTCATGAGCTGCGGTTGGCTTTGTAGTGGCGAATCGATAAGTGAGCTTCGCCGGCTGCTTTGACTCCATCGTGTAGTCGGAGGAATTCTTTCACTTGGGCCTCCTCGCACGCCACGACAGTAGGAGCGACGGGGTTGGTACCTTGAAATGAAAATGCTCGACAATTAGACAGACTCGTGGTCGGACGTCTGGCTGGCAATAATGTCGAGCAGTCTAGCGCCATTGCAGCAGTCCAAAGTCTGATAACTACGTATGTGCTGCGGTTTCACCGCAGGGTTTGCTTTTATGACAATAGCAACGTGCACGTGGAAACACAGGCTTGGTATCGAGCCACCAACTCAAGGAGTACATAAGTTACACTTGAAGCAGGAATGACCACCTATTCTTTCGTTGTCTTTGCAGCAAACACTGGGACGTGGGGCACAACTTGTTCTGACGACTTCTGAGGACAAATGCACTCGAAAGAATAGATTAAAGTGTTGCCACGCTTACATCACCGACGATCACCGAAGCCACCTGATCCACGTAGGTTTGTTTCGTCTTGATAACGTTAGAAATCAGATAGGTTGTTGTATTAAGCTCTATTTGCTAGCGGGTGACCAAGTCGGTCTCAATAAGCAGCTACACTTAGAAGAAAGTGGCGGCCACAGCGGCCAGGATGGCACTGGCCGAAACGACAGCCATACTGGCACCACTGCTACCGGATGAAGAAGCTGAGGCGGAGGCGTCCGAGTCCGTCGAGTTGGCCGTTACGGTGGCCGACGAACCATCGGTAGAGCCCACGGTGGCGGACGTCGACGAGCCGGAGGACGAGCCTCCATTGCAGACTCTGTTGAGCGGAGTGATCAGGTCGGCGTACAAGGCGAAGGTGCCTACGGTGCATTCAGTGGGAGCGGCCGCCTCGGCATCCGACAGTAGCGACTGGCACGCCTTGCTGGTACACATTTTGGCCAACTCAGCGTCAGTGGGTGTGACCAGCGTCGTTCCCTTGAAGCCGGAGTCCGTCATGCATGTGGCCGCGTCAGGCGAAGTGATGATCGTCTGGAGCGCGGCCACGTCACATGGAGCGGCGTTGGTGACGGCAATGAGCGCAGCAGCAGAAACGATGGCGACGAACTTCATGGTGTGAAAGTGGGCGAGCTGCTTGATCTGCGGATTGAGAATTCGGAAATGAGGCGCCGCATTGGTTGGCCAGGCCGCCTGAAGCCAGAGGATAAAGAATAACGATGAGGATTACAGCACAGTACACCGCCACGTGCTCGATGCTCGTTCTCAAAGATGGCACTGAGGATTTTTCACATTGTTTACGGAGTTTTTGTGTTGTAGATCAACTTGCCCATTCTCTGCTTGGTTGAGCATTACCGCTGTTGACTGTTCGTCGCCAAATCTCTTTTATGTCATTGGACATGGGAGCCTGTACATTGAGAATTCACGACACGAGAGCATTGCTGCATACCATGATATACAAGAACTATTCATTAAACTGGTACTGTTATTTGTGATGATACCGCCGTCTCGGAGATGAAAGTTTATTGATGAATCTCTATCCAGGAATTTCATATATATATTGGATTAACTTCGAAGTATGACTCACCAGTGTAACTCACTTTGCTCGCAGCCTTGTCCCTGTGAGCAACAGCACAAGGCAGATCAATTACAAGGAGACGTTTAGGTACATGTACATAATCTGGCTGCTGTACAGCAGAGGCGTACTGAAGCTAGTTGAATCAGTTCACCGTCAAGAACCCATTGGTAAGGAGCTCTCAGCGACAATGCTTCGTCTTTATGAAAATGAACAAGCAGTAGTGCGTGGCCAAAGCAACAATTTCCTAGGCAAGTGCTGCACCATTATCTATTCTACACTAAGTTTTTACGAGTGAGCACTCTTCAACCGATGCTGGGCCATTTACTCAAAATAGGATGCACGCTGCTAATAAATCAATACACGCCAAGCAAAACAACAGTCAAGGCTATCACAGCCTTGATAAGGCAGCTCCATCAGCATTGTACACTGTAGCACTGATCACGCGATTTCCACGTGATCGTAACGACCAACTAGCCAATCAGAGCCCGTTAAAACGTCGAGTGATCTAGCTGGATTATATCGAAAAGACAGCTTGCTGGACTGCTTAAGACCGTCTCGTGTCGTCTTTGACTTCAATCTCATCGAATAGCCCACTGCTAGCTGCACTATCCGCCATCTCCACGTTCATCGTCTGTTGAAGCTGAGTTAAATACTCGAAGTTGGCCTTGCAGTCCAGCGAGCAGAATCGGCCCTCAGTGTTGCTCAGCATCGACATTGACTTAAAGAATAACCGCTCGCAGTTCATGCAGCGGGTCTGTCGCTTCCGCCATGAAGCTTCACTGCCGCTGTCGTCCGCAGTGTGCTTGCGTACATGCTGATGTCTTGACGCTGTCGATAAATTAGACGGAGCTGAAGAAGCGAGGGCGATCGGGATTGCAATGGCGGTGCTGGGGTGGCTTCCGACGACCGTCGATACCGGCACTGGAACTGGTTGCGCACATCCTGGCCAAGATTTGGCTTGCTGGTCAGCATAACGTTGTTTTCTCTTGAAGATCACTCGGATCACTCGAGTTGCGAAGCTTGGGCGAGACGCTATCTCTCGCTCAGTACAGCGCAGATTGGTCTTGTTACCCGTACGGATCGTAGGCGAGGGTTGCTTACTCGTCATACATGTTGTGCGGTTCATGCTTTGGTTGTTGGTTTCGTGTCGTCACCTGGAGGCGAATCGAGAAGTGCGTATCAAGACTCGATGCCCGCTTTGGTGCTTTGATACCGTAACCTTGGTGCCGTATTCAAATGAATTCCGTCATGCTGGACGAATACACTTGTGATCTAGTCGGCCCATTCGCACGCCACGACAGTCGGAGCGACGAGGTTCGTGTGGACGGAAGAAGCCTTCGAAATGAAAAGTTGAGGTCACACAGCAGTAGCGACTCAGCGCTCTGAACATTGTCGTCGGACAGCAACGTCTGATAACGAGGCTTCACTATGAGGTTTGCTATACCACGAGCACGTGGAAACGCAGACAGAGTCGCTGACTAAAACGATGTGCTTGAACCTGGTATAAATGTTCGGAGAGTGTCGTCTCGCAACGACAAAGGCTTAACATGGCCAGAGAATGAATCGGAATTCCGGTGGGTGTTCGGTGTCTTTGCAGCCAGAACTGGGACATGGGCACCAATACACTGTACTTTGATCACTTGGTGTTAGTATTGGCAGGACCGAGAACTCTTCGCTCCGACGAATGTAGTGAACTTCTGAGAACAAAACCACGAGGCAGGAGCACCTGTCAAGGGAGTGTTATGTATTAACCACGAGGCACGAGCACATGAAGGGAAGATAGTGTCTAACGAACACCGAAAACCCTCGTGCTGACTGCAACGATGGACCTCGTTTGTAAACTTCATAGTCAGCATGCCTTCATAAATCGAAATAGAGACTGCCATTTTCGGTCTTTGTGGGATTAGCGCTTAGTAAGGGAATGCATGGAGCGGGACTAAGGAGCGTCTTGAGTAAAAAAAAACAGTGTACTTGCACAAGAACGCGCGCTTGTTCGACAGGCACCATCTGAGTATAACAAACCTGACCAAGAACGAGTTACTGTATTTCTTTGGTGGCAATGCCTCTCAAACAGTCCCACTGTTTGCAGCAAGCCCCTTCCACTTGAGCAAATGTTCTAAACGCTACGATACTCGACAAGTATGAGTGGAATCGATGCCTAGAGTCGTCACAAGCGTTCGACAAGCGCGCAACGCCCCAAAATCTGTTAATATAAACACTGAAATGCTCACGGTTTAGGAGGTCAAAGCTCTACTAGTACCTTGATTTTGCTGCAGGTACAATGGCGTTTCACGGTCACAACGGCCACAATTCAGTCCTCGAAAGCAGTTTATGAATGGATCAGAAGAACTGTGGTGTCAATACTTCCAGAGCCCACACATCACCATTTTGGACTCACTCTACGGGCATTGTATCCGAAACTTCACTCCGAATCCGGCGACAAACTAGTTTAAAGTCATGGGATCCAAGCAAAACTGCCTGTCGTGCGCACGCAGCCGTCAAATTGCTTCAAGTGCCCGTTAAACACGCGACTTCAACGAAAACGTCAACTTCGGTTCTATCCCAGTTCTCGAGGTGACTTGAAGTTTGTATGGTACAGTGCAGCGAAATGCCGCTTCGAGGTTCTAGATTTGATAGCGAGGTCATTGTTGGCAAAAAGGAAAACGTGCCATACAGAGCCCCAGTCATTCGGTTGCACTTGCTGTTGTTGTCTGTCCCCATCAAGAACATGACACGGAGGCCGCACCAATGATGGATGGGCTTCAACCATCGGAGGCGTTCGTCTCACATGCCAAATCGCGTTGCCGCCGACAGGAAAAGTCTCAGGTGGCGACGTCACCGCATCGAAAGGTCACGCGTCCACTTTGTGCCAATCAGATTGGTGGAAACATCTACGCGTCACCTACTTTCTGCCCTACCCTCATTTCTCATTTGATGTTCCACACACCACATTCAACTTTGCTTTCCCAATGCGCGCCTTCGGCATTCTCGATTCCGCACTGCACGAAGGACCATCACTCTTTCGTGTATCGGCGTGACCATCACTCGTGGGGCGCCATGTCTGGGCGCGCGTCCATCGGCGACTATGTCGTCACCAGCAAACTGGGCAGCGGCTCGTTCGCTGTTGTGTACAAGGGCTACCACAAGGTGAGCAAGACGCCGGTCGCCATCAAGGCGCTGTCGCTACACAAGCTCAATAGCAAATTATTGAGCAATTTGGAGATGGAAATCGCCATTATGCGCCAGATCGACCACCCGAACGTCGTCAAACTCTACGACATCAAGAAGACGGAGAAGCACATGTACCTCGTGCTCGAATACTGCGCGGGGGGCGACCTACAGCACTACATGCGACGTCAGCAGCAACAAAATAGCGGCAATTTGTTACCGGAGAGCGTGGCTAGACACTTTCTGCGCGAACTGGCCAAGGGAATGCAGTGTTTATGGCAGCACAACCTCATCCATCGAGACCTCAAGCCACAGAACCTGCTACTCGTCGAGGACTCGCCTACTTCGGCGCTGAAAATCGGTAAGTAATATAAACAGGGGTACACAATAATTGTTTTTAGATTAACAATAATTGTTTTTCACAGCGGACTTTGGCTTCGCGAGACAATTAGCAGCGACGTCCATGGCCGAGACGCTGTGTGGATCTCCACTATACATGGCACCAGAGATTTTAAAGTTCCAGAAGTACGACGCCAAGGCCGATCTCTGGTCCGTGGGTACAATTTTGTTCGAAATGCTGACTGGTCGTCCACCTTACGGCGGCGCCAACCACGTGCAATTGCTGGCCAATATTGAGCGTCAACCGCTACGCTTCCCGCCCACTTTGCAGCTCTCCAGACCGTGTCGCCATCTGCTGGTGGCTTTGTTGCAGCGGAAACCGGCGCTCCGTCTCGGATTTGCCGAATTTTTCGCCGATCCGTTCGTGGATCTGCAGCCGTTACCGGAGCAGGTTGAAGAAGCCGAAGCAGCGCGTCGGTCGTCATTTTCAACGACCGCGAGTATCCGAGAGGAGGAGGAGGAGGACGAACAGGGACATTCAGAACGTTGGGGAGTGTCTACGAGCAGATCTGGAGCTGACGAGGCGTCGACGACGCCTCGTCGAGGATCCGATCGACGGTCTCGTGCTTTCTCCGTTTCTCATGAGGCAAGTTCGAGCTCAAAGTTTGCGAGTACAGCACCGTCGACGCTGTTGCGTCAGTCACGTAGCGGCAACTTGGAAGTCATGGAGACTGCCTTTGCTAGTGCCAGTTCGGGCTCTGGAGCTCTGCGTCGGTCGTCGTCGTCACGACTGGCGCGCAGTCGACGCGCCTCGTCCAGTGGCAGCGGGTTAACTGGAGTGAATGCAGGTACGAGCCCCAAGCTCAGTCCGCAGATGAGTCCGCAGATCCTGCCCAGCCCCAGTCCAAGAATTAACCCATTCAAACAGCTTTCAGAGTCTCCTCCTGGTGCCACAGCAGCTCAACAACAGATGTCTGGGTCTCGGATCAAGACTTCTCAACCAAATAACAATGATGCTATTGTGACAAGACCGAAGAGCGGTGGAGGGGGTCATGCTCTGGACAGTAGCGGCGAGTATGTACTCGTGGATGAGTTGTCAGAACGTCCCGCTGTCGGTGGAACTGCTGGACGTCAGGAAATGCCCCGTGCAGGTGGAGAAAGCAGCAATGGATCGACTCCGGGAGACGTGGCTACGAGAGCGCTACCCTCCGCTAGCAATGCTCCTACAGAGAATTTCTCTCGAGAATATGGACAGCAGCTCATCGACATTGTGGTGCTGCGTACGCAGGCTATTGCTCCGATTGCTGATCAACTCTGGACATTAAGTGGTTCTGGAGAAACAACGTCAAGCTCTGGGACTGAAAATACCGGTGAACCGGTAGCAGAAGACTGGTCTCCACAGCAGACAGAGGGCAACTCATCGTCGTCAGGCGGGAAACGTGCAAGCGTGAACTTCTCGACTGTGTTTTCCATGAGCTCGTCGCTAGCCTCTTCGATCGGCGTGAGTAGTACTCTTAATGATGACGACGACGGAGACGATGACGACGATGACGACGAAAAGCGCAATGCTGAACGTCAATACGTGTATGCTGCGGAGGCCCTGGCGTTGTATGTCAAGTGCTTACGACTCGTGCAGCACGTTGTGCTGTATTTCCGCCACGATCCGACATCTCGGACTTCGATGGGGTCTTCCGGATCATCAGGAGTTTCAGGATGGAGCGAAACAAGTCGGAAAGTGTCGATGGCGTTCTTGTCCGAACAACTGACTCATTTCCTGGATCGCGCAGAGCAGTGCAAGACACGTATGGCACGTCTCCGAACTCCAGCGCGTCCTGTCGCTACTCAGGAGGAGTTGCTGTACGCTCACGCACTTCGAATTGGACGCCAAGGTGCCATCCGCGAAGTTTTGGGGCAAACTCGAGCTGCACACGACCACTATTTGCAGGCTTTGCTGCTTTTAGAGAGCTTACTCATGGACGCAAATGGAAATGTGCTCGCTGTGGATGACCAGAAGAACGTCAACACTTTCCTGCGTGCACTCGAACAGCGCTTAAAGAACGTTCGCGCTTCGCTCGACGAGAGCTCAGGTATGCCGCCTCGACCTGCAGTACTGTGACGGTAAGGGCCACCAATGAGTACGTG